AGAAGGATAATTTGAGCCTGGCCATTTGTACCTTGAATAAGAATCTGGGTTAATAATGTAATTGCTAAGAGTCAATATGGACTTGATGGCACATAATCAACCAATTATTGGTATTATTGATTAATAATTGCTCTATCTTACGGTAATAAATTTTATCTTGGTATTTAAATTATTGGTTATATACTGCTGCTGTTTTAATTGTTTGTTGTTTGATAAATCCATAGATAAAGGTTTCCCTTGTTCAATTCTAGGGGTGGTGCTTATCTCCATTTCTTAGCTGAGGGAGCCAGCATTATCCAAAGACACTTTTGTGGTCACATGGCCAGCATGACTATATGCCAAAGGCACAAGGAACATATTTACCTCCCCACCAAAGTATTCACATTTGCATGCTTTCAAACTCATAGGTTGGCAGGAGCTGGGGCAAGTAATGGGAGCTCACCCTGTCGCACAGCACTCGGGTCTCAAACTCAGGCTACCAGCTTTCCACCTGACAAGCTCAGTGTCTTTAACCTCTGAGCCATTGCATCATCTATTAATCCATACTAGCAGTCTAATAGTATATACCCCTTAAATATTAGGAAGGAGAGAAGGTGCCACTCAATATACACCTCTGAATGACTGAAAAATTATAATTGATCATTCATGGCATCCATTTTAAGCAAAATATAAGACAAAGTGCTGTGTTGCTGTTTATTGATTTAATGAAAACTTGAGACAGCCTCCTGATTGTCATGGATTTCATTAAATTTGGGGTCACCTTCTGTAGTATCTTTAGTATGGATGTTAAAATCTTCCAAGAACCATAGTTCTGCAATTTGCACCATTCAATTAGCTCCATATAACACAGATCCAGTGCATTCTATACTACAAGTGTATCTGTCAAATGTTTTTATGGAAGTGATGATTGCTTATGAGCCTATTATCAATCACCATGAAGGACAATGTTGCAGGTATACATTTTTATGTCAAAACTATGGTATGTGACAATGTTACTCTGGCCTAACAGCTAAAAATGTACTTCTGCCATCCCCCCCCCCCAATGGATATTCTGCCTTTTCTCCAGAAGCTTGAGATGTCTTATATGAGGATTTCCCATAATGTTATGCTGACAAGAACAATTTATGATGTAGATTGGGCAAACAGTACATTATTCATCAAATCACCTAGGTTGACTGAATGTAGGGTTGAATTTAGATTTCCAGTATCTTAACCAGTATATCACATTGGCTCTCAACTGTAGATTCGACATTATTTATGGCATTCTGACCACCTGGTTACAGCCTAAATATTTCAATTATTTCAGATATGGCTTTTAAATAGATAGGCAGGGAAGTGTTTTGTTATTATTGCTCTTTATACAGAGCCTGTGAAGAAATACTAAAACAGACTATTAAATTCTGCTCCTTTGAGGATTCATCTTCAGCCTACTCTACTTTCTTATCAGATGTTCTGCAGTTAAAGTACCTATATTTCAGTGACTACGAAACCAAATGGAAACGAGATTTACGTTGTGGCATGTTTGTTGGTGAAGAAAATGGGCTATTTCCTCCAGAAAATTCTTTTTGGACAAAATTCTCTGTAGGTGTACAAATAGAAATCTGTGAATGTGTAAATCATATTTGAAGCACAATTCAAGGCTGCTATTTTTTTGCTAATTTTTTTATCCTCTTTGTTACAGATATATTAATTTAAGCAATTTAACATGGAATATTTTTTCTGTTTGAACATTTAGATATTTCACAGAATTAGAAGGGTAAAATTTCAATTTAATCTAGGAAATTTAAGATAAGCAGTAGAGAGTTAAAACAATACTTTTTCTCCTTCAAGTAAGGAAATTCAAGCAAAGCTCATTCAAAAATCTGGCAAGAACAGTTCGACAAATATGGAAAATATTGCAGGATAAGTAAGTAAGGAGGGTCAGAAATGAGACATTCCATTCATCTACAGAACATTTTTAATTGAATGTTCTGCAGATGAATGGAATGTTTCATTTGTACCCATTCTTACTTATTTGTCTTGCAATATTTTCCATACAGGTAGTCCTTGACTTATGACTGTAATAGAGCCTCCCCATCATGGTAGTAAGTCATAAAACAGGTCAGTCACATGATTTCACCATCTTTTTTGCAGCAGTTGTTAAGTGACTGCAATGGTCATTAAGCGAACCAATGCTTCGCACTCGGTGCAATTTTTGCAGAAAACCAGAAATGATGGCTTTTGTCAAAATATCATAAAAAGCAAGATATGTGACAGTGGGACCCTGCAAATGCTGTAAACGCAGCTCAGCTGCTGAGCGTTCTGTTTGGTCACATGATTACGGGGGGGTGGGAGGACTACTGAAACTTAGAATCTCAGTCGTAAGTAGATCCAGGTAGATCTGTTGCAAGTCAAGGACTGCCTGTATTTCAAAAGCATACATTTAATCAGTCAGCGTTTTCTTGTATCATATTAATAGGGAGCGGTGGATTAATCTGTTGAATTTAATTCTGCCTAGTTTCTCATTTTTTTCAAACTTAACGCCACAGTCTTAAGTAGAGACTGGACAGCCATTTGTCCGAAATGGTGTAGGGCAGTGATGGCAAACCTTTTAGAGATCGAGTGCCCAAACTTCAATCCAAAACCCACTTATGTATTGCTGGGTGGGCGTGGCTACAGTGGTCATGGCAGATGGGTGGGTGTGGCCAGGGTGGGCATGGCTAGCCAGATGTTGCTCGTGAGGAGGGACGCCTATGGGGGCTGGGCAGGGTTGGGGGAGATCCAGGGGTCTCTGGTGGGTGGGGCGGTAGGCAAGAGGCTGGTTCTGTGGGGCGAGGCGAGGCAAGGCAAGGCGAGGTAGGGCGGGGGTGCCATGTCACAGGGCAAGGCGAGGCAGGGGCCGGGGTGGCTGCTTCCTGACACCATCGGCCCCCACACACAGAGTCCAAGTGCATGGGTGCTGGGATGCATCCGGCCACGTGGGACCTCGGCGAGTTAGCGGGCGGCTGGTTGAAGAAGATGGTTGCCATCTCCGGGGTATGGCGCACGTGCCCAGAGAGGGCTCCGAGTGCCGCCTCTGGCACGCGTGCCATAGGTTCGCCACCACTGGTTTAGGGTTTCCTGCCTGAGGAGGGGGTTGGACTAGATGACCTCCAAGGTCCCTTCCAACTTTATTATTATTATTATTATTATTATTATTATTATTATTATTATTATTATTATTATTATTATTATTATTATTAATAATAATAATAATAATAATAATAATAAAGTTCAGATGTAAAGGTTCTCACACACACTTACATATGACCATATTTTTCCTAATGAACACATTTGGACATTGTATTTTCCTTTCATAATGTAATTCTTGCGCTGTTTTTACTGATATAAACTGTTTCCACACATTTTTGGTTTTGAAAAATGACTATTGAAATGTTACTTCATTCTGGTTTGGAAAATGCAAATACATTTTTCCATTTGATTGATGTGTAGAAAAAAGTTGCAGAATTAGGAAATAAAAGCAAATGATACAGTCCTGTTATATAAATATTTCACCTGTAAGTCATATGACACAAGTTTCAGCTGCTCAGGTTTTTATTCTCATCATTAGGAATAGAATCCTATTCATATTCCTATCTCACTATATAGAAAAGAACAGTGCAAATACTGTTCCCATAAAATAATTCAGATGTTATAATGAGAGATTATTACAGTAAGAGGCAGATATTTTTTGCCTGTTGCAAACTATGTAAACCATTAAAAACATATTTGGCTGGAAAGTGTATCTCAACACCATTCATCTTTGAATAATAAAAGACATACTCAGTCTCCAAATAAAATATTAGGAAATTGATTTAAATGGAATCACTTGCAAGTAAGGTGAGCAAAGTTAAATCGGTGAAACATTTATAACTAATGGACATGTTACCCTTTGAAACATAAGTGGCTTCCTTTCCTGAAGGATAGTTCATCATAGAAATTTGCTAAAGGATTATCTAACTCTGATACAGAAGGCTAGTTTTTGGTTGATGCAGGGATATAATGCAGACTCATTGACCAACCTGAAGAGCTAGCCATTTAGGCAAGCTGTTCTTAGTAAACTCCTCGGTTCTCCTTATCTGCAGGCTGGTTTTGCAAGAGTTAAATTAGTGTCCCAGCAACCCGAGGAGTGCATCCATCCAGCAATGCCCTGCCGCCCAGCAGCTTCCTTCTTCCTTTTCAGGATTGCACTGGAAATTGCCCAAACAAGCAGAACCAAGCAGACTGCAAAGGTCACACCTGGCGTGTGGCCAGCTTGCTCTCTGGCTCCAAAACTGCACCCCCCCCAATTGCCAGGTTCAGGGCAGCCTATGTTTTCCCTCTTTTGTTTCCCTTTTCTTCCCCCAGCTGTTCCATTCATAGGCCCGAGCTCAGCAATCTGCCCTTCCCAGAAAAAGAGCCCCTTATTAAGCTGAGCTAACTCAAAGGGCCAGCACAGCACGTGCCACTCCTTATCGGCACCATCTCAAGATCCTATTCCATGGTGCTTAGGCAACAAAAAAAAAAGTAAATGGTTTTAACTCCCATTGGCTCCCCTGCAGCAATTCAAACAAAAGTGCAAAGCAACAAAGACATTTTCCACCATGGCAGGTGTTGGTGTCAAATTCTGCCTGAAGCAAACAGGCGCAAGAGAAAGAAAGAAAGAAAGAAAGAAAGAAAGAAAGAAAGAAAGAAAGGAAAGAAAGAAAGAAAGAAAGAAAGAAAGAAAGAAAGAAAGAAAGAAAGAAAGAAAGAAAGAAAGAAAGAAAAGATTTTTTTTTTTAGCAAACTTAAACATTCAGGGCCAGAGAGCTACCAATAATACTCTGCCTAGTGCTCCTTAGCGAACCAGACATAAACAAGAACCATTTGTTCTCAGAGCAAACCCAGTGGAAAAGCAAGAGACCAGTCCAAATTAAATGACAGCTATTTCAGCTCCATACAAGCAACAGAAGGAATCTAGTTAGTAAATTGAGAATGACGCCATGTGAGCAAACTCTTACCTTTCTCAATTACCGTAACGAGATCATTACATATTTTAATCTAAAGGGAAAGAACACAAATGTATGTAAATATGGGAATAGTGCACCTGCTGCTCTGATGACAGTCTTATACACATATTATTACAGAGTTATTAATGGGAGGAGAACATAAGTTGGAAATAAACCTAATGAGCATCAGTCACATTATGAAATAAGATGTAGATAGTAATAATTCTACAATGCTATTTTTGCTTATTTGAATACATTGTCTAACATGGGTTATTAAAAGCTTGAAAATTATATCTGGAGGTTATCATGCAGATAGAGCAGAATATATTCAACTTTATTACAGTCCCCCCTCAAACTCAGAGTAACCTTTATACAGTTATGAACTTGTAAATAAATATTCAAAACAAATGGATACCGCCAATTAAACAAATAAACTCCTCCTTACTGTTTTGTTTTTACAGCATGGTGGAAGTTCATATTTTGGGCAAATATTATAGGATATTATTGCACTTATTATATTTTCCCATCCTCTCAATTTTTAAAAGCTTCATAAACTAGGTTTTATACAAAAAAGTATAATTTAGAATGAAGTATTTCTTTACCACTTGAATTTTGAACATGCCCCATGCTATACAATAACTTTTAGGATTCTGAAATTTGATGAGCTAACAAATAAATCAGGGAGATAGCTTGGCCCTCTGTGATAATCTTATGATATGGGAAGTTATATACTGTATAGACTCTAGAACAGGGGTCCCCAACCCCCAGTCCGTGGACCAGTACCGGGCCACGGCATGCCAGCAACTGGTCCGCACAAACAAGCAAAGCCCCATCCGTGGGATGCAGCACACAAAACCATGCCCTCTCCGGTCCGTGGAAAAACCTTTCTCCACGGAACTGGTCCCTGGTGCCCAAAAGGTTGGGGGCCTCTGCTCTAGAAGACTAATAAAATACATATTGCGGCACACAGTCACATTCCCCATACTTCATTTCTCTGGCTCAGCATTTTCAATCTTTTGGGTTATTATTAGCAAATGTACCCTTCAGAGCACAGATGGCAGAACATTACAGTGTGTCAAAATGATTACTCCTTTGCTCATAGACATGATGTTATAAAGATATCAAGGCAGGAGCGAGCCATCCTTAATTCTCACAGGAATGAAGTATGAGGGGAACTGGTTGATATCCTTTTGTAATTCAATAACCCTAATATGTTGACTGAAGAACCATTTGGCACTATCAAATCCCATCAACAACAGTACAGAAGATGCAAGGCTGCAACACTTTAAAGCGTAATGTAAACATCTTCTTTGGACTACTTTATCACTATAGCCTGTACTAAGTATATTTGGGAATCCCAAGAGCCTGAGATATGAAACATAACTCTAAAATATATAAAGATCTAAAATTTCCTCCTCTTTGCCATTTTGTCCACCTGGTCTCTTTGCAAATCCTCTACTGGTGGAGGATTGTTAATAACCAGGTCCTCTTTTACACAGTAGGAATTAATGGCTTCTAAAGTTCTTAATCCAATACTACAAACTGCATTTCAGCAACAGCACGATAAAAGATTTACTTATCTGCTTTTGCAGATGACATTCCTTTATCATGCGTCTCTGCACCAAACCATTAATAAAAACCAGGTAACAATGGGTCTGCCATACACGCTTTAAGACTGGAACTAGGCTAGGGAATTGCCTATCCCTATTGCTGCAAAGAGATGTCTTCATGCAACATCTTAAATTAATATCAGGAGCCTCTGATCCATGATCTCTCTTCTTATTCCATCAAAGTATTGTAGAACTGAAAGCTGATTTAAAGTTTACATTTAAGATTTTTCAAGATGTGTGTGTTTGTGCTTGTATGTGTGTGTGCATTTGTACACACAGAGTATATATACTATCTACTGTATGCTGTAAACCTGAACACCGATCAGTTGCAACTAACAGGCCTGGTTCTCAGCTAATATGTTCTGCACAGATATTCTAGGTTACGTATAATTCCTTTACGAAAGTTATGTTAGTCAATTAGCTTGTACTACCAAACAGCCTATTTGGTGAGACCTTATTGTGAACGTCTGGTTGATTGTAATATATTCTGTTATTTGTGCCTGTATTATACTTTTTGCATATAGCAATATAATATTAATGGTACTTTTAAAAATAGTCTTTCCTATTTTCCAAATCATTAGCCTGCTTATGAATGAGCTCTTCTTGCTCTTGTTGCTGACAAGGTGTGTCTCTAGTCTGGCTGCTGGGCTGAGCTGGGCTTTGGCTGCGGAAGAAAAAAAAAAGCCAGAAAGAGCCAGCATGCCCTTTGCCTTTTTTGCTTTCTTTTTCTTTTTTTTGGGAACATGAAGCCCAGTCTCAGTCTCAGTCTGGGCATGCCTTGTCAGCAGTTGGATAAAGAAGACACCAAAGGTCAGGTTCTCTGAAGCGCAGGCCAGCAGGGGGTCAAAAGGGCATAGATGGAGAGGAAGCTAGGCAAGTGGGAGGAGTTGAAGTGCCTTTATGGTTGCAACTGTGTACGGGCTGCCTAGTACCTGAATTTTGATCATATGACATAACTTTGGGCTCAGGTTGTAAGTTCCTTAAGAGCTGCTTAACTTATTCTTTGCATCAGTCTTTAGGCAAAAACAAACTATAGCCCAACCTACCAAAAACACAACTGTAAAAGACAGACTAGAAAAAAAAAATTAAAGTAAGCCAGAAACTGATAAGAGAATACCTGTCTGATCTTGAGGAATATAAACAGATCATGCCAAACCAATCTTATTTCATTTTTTGACTAAATTAGTAGACCAGCAAAATGCCGTGGATATAGTATATTTAGACTTCAGTAAGGCATTTGACAAAGTAGACCACAACCTATTTTTTGATAAGCTAGAAAAATGTGGGATAAACAGCATCACCACCAGATGGATTTGTAACTGGCTGACAAACTGTACATAATGAGTAGTCCTTAGTGGTACTACATCTACATGGAGGGATGTAAGCAGTGGGATACCACAAGGTTCCATCTTAGGCCCAGTACACTTCAATATCTTCATAAATTACTTAGATTTGCAGATGACACTAAGTTGGTAGGAAGACTGGTGAGAGCTTCTAAGAAAGCCCAATTTTGATGGTGCCACCCTTTCCAGAGAACCTGTTTCTAGAGAAGCTGTTAGGGACTGAAATGGTATAAAGTCTCCTGCTTGGGCAGGAGATTGGATTAGAAGACTTCCAAGGTCCTTCCAACTCTGTTATTCTGTTTCTGTTTCACCTTCATTCAGTGCCATCATAACGGTTGCTGAATGGACTACCTGTATACTTAAGATTAATCAGTCACATAAAAACACAGTTATACAACCTTGTCAGGTGCAAAGGATCAGGACCATACGTTAAGTTGCACACAGATTTATTCAAACCTATATACAAGAATCTAGTCAACTAATGGTCAGCACTAACTTGGCACTAGATAAAAATCAACGGAATTCAAGAGTGGCTGAAATTGGATTATTTGTGGCAACATAAGGACCCTAAGCTAATGACATGTTTAACTCCCCCCCAGCTCTGCCTGCTCTTCCCCTACAACCTTTAGCCATTGTATAATTCAGAAATATTCTCTAAAAAGAGTAAAAGAATAGACACAACCATAGAATTGTGGAATTTCAAAGGTTCATAAAAGATCCTAAATTCAGTCCAACCATCTAAAATGTGCAAGTAAATATATTTGATGTGTTGCTTCCAAGCTATGAATCCCCACCTTGCATGTGTGACATATATGTTTCCTCCTTAAATATATTACATTTCTTCCTGCTAAAGAACACCTAGCTCAGGTATCCAGATTGAATTGCAATCTTGACCTATCATCATAGGCAGTACTGATTTATAATAAAACCATTAAAAAAGAGGGGTCAGCTTTTCATCTAGCTATGTATGACACAAGATCCAACAGCATCTCTATTAGAGTTGCTTGCAACACAGAAATTACATTTAATATAGAGACTGGGAACTATCACAGAAAATAGTATGCTCCAGATGTAAGACTGGACAAAAATGTTATGAGACAACAAAGTTGATATTAGGGTACCCTTTTTGTGCTGACATGGCATTGAACGATATTGTAATAGGGACTAGTGATGGCAGGCTCAGGGTGGGGGTGGATTTTGCATAAATATGATACCAAGATCGTTCTAATCACTTTGTGGGTGATGCATATTGAAAATTAGATGGGAGACATCTTGCTCTATCTCATGAATCACTTGGCAGCGTTCCACACCACCAACCACAGCATCCTGACCTGTCTTGTGGAGACAGCTTTGGGGGAGGGCATTGCTTTGCAGTGATTTGGGGCATCCAGAATATAATCAGAAGATGGTGGTGGAGGATCTTTCTCTGACACCAGGACATTTCAGGGCTCTGTCTTCTTTGCTTTTTAACATCTATGTGAAATCACTAAGGCAGGTCATTTAGGGCTTTCATACAGAATGCCATCCATATACTGATGCAGCTCTATTGTTTCTTAAATCTAATTCTGAGAAAACAATCAGTATCCTTGAATGTTGCTTAGATTTGCAGCTTATTCCTCTTCCTGCTTTTCTCTTTCTATTTTTTTTATTCTCTTTTGCATTTTTTAAATTTACTTTTTTAATATTTCAAGTTTGCCAAACTTGTTTTGTTTTAGTCCCCTTTTCTTCCCTTATCAACATGTATAAAACATATATCCATATTCATTCATATACATACCGTCCACCCCCCAGTAATAGCACAATGTAGATTAATATAAAATAATTTAAATTAGGACATACATCTTTATTGGAAAATAAATACCCTGATTTATGTTTTTCCTTAATTTCTAAATTTCATTTCCAATGTTCTATTTAATTTTGAAAGAAAAATATATGTGTAATATTAATATCCACAACTATAATTAATATTGGTAGAAAATCTACTTTCTCTTATCTGTATCCATTATTCTAAGGCACTTAAATAATAGAATATTAAGAATCTAAGTATATTATATAAATATCACTGTGTTGAAATAACATACTGCATTGTATTAAAACTGAATAAATAGAGCAATAGATGGTCTATATGGCTAGATTCAAGAATATGTTAAAGGATGGAGTTACTTCTATATTAACAATTTATGGATATATCTATAGTTTCTTCAAATGTTACTCATTTAATTATTATAATGAATATTAGTAGCACTGTTATATGTTGGGCTGTACTTCTAGTTGTTATATTTTACCAATAATATATTAAACAAAACAAAACAAAACAAACATTTAATACCTGCTACTTTTCTATTAACATTTGCACATTTTTAAATTTCTCCATCCATTTTCCATTCCTGGAAATGAATATACAGAAATGATACAGAAATGAATATTTCTGCTTTATGGTAGTATAAATTAAAATTGTTCCCTCCATTTTCGCCTGGACAAACACTATTACCCTTGTCTTTGGTAACATTGATTTTGAGATCCATATTATTCATTGCATCTTATAATAAGTAACTAATATTTACAGGTAATCCTTGACTTATAATAGTTCATTTAGTGACCTTTGAAGTTATAATGGCACTGAAAAAAGTGACTTATTACCTTTTTTCCCCATGACCATTGCAGCATCCCCATGCTCACATAGTCAAAATTCAGATACTTGGCAACTAACTCATATTTATGATGGTTGCAGTGTCTCAGGGTCCTGTGAACACCTTTTGTGACCTTCTGATAAGCAAAGTCAACGGGGGAAGTCAGATTCACTTAACTGTGTTACTAACTTAACAACTGCAGTGATTGCCTTAACTGTGAAAAGAAAGGTCATAAAATAGGACAAAATTCACTTAACAACTATCACATTTAGCAACAGTAATTTTGGGCTTAATTGTGGTCGTAAGTTGAGGACTACTTGTACTGCACACCCAATAAAATGGCATCATCTGCAAACAAAAATATACTATGGTCATATCCCCAGTCAACATACCTTATTTATTTATTATTTATTTATTAATTTAATTTATATCCCGCCCTTCTCCTTACGGACTCAGGGCGGCTAACAACCAGATAACAACCCAAACATTCCTCATACATATTTTGATAATTATATTAAACAACCAAGGAGACATCACACCATCATAGTTCAATGTTGAATTATTTACTAACTAAGCATTTCATTTAATTTGAATCAGGCTTTACTTCCAAAATTTACTCTATTATTTTGGTCAGCCAATCTTCAACTCCATATTAATCAACCTTATTATATCTTTTTTTGAATCAACAATTGTAAAATAATCTTTCATTCTCCCATTCATGCAATTTCAACAACCTGTTGAAGAGCAAAAACCTAGTCTGACATCCTCTGCCCAGCATAAAACTGCACTGACCTTCCCAAATTTTGTCCATTCTAGTGCTTGTACTCTTTCAACCAAAATTGTGTCACACACTTCCCCAGCTACATTTCATGGGTTTCTCTGAAGTTTTTACATTTTATCTAGTACAAGGGAATCCAGCACATCATAAGTACACCTGATCTTATTCAAAAGGCTGAGGATCAACGACAAGTCATAAGTAAATCACATCCATATTTTAACTTTTTCCCAATTACACCACCTGTACCTGCAGTCTTACAATTAAACATGTTGAATATTCTCTCCCTGTTTTTAACAATGCTTGTTGGAAGGGAAGAGACTTGATTGGCTCATTAATTTGAATTTTATGAGATTTGCTGCCCTCTATTCAAACTGACTAATTAACTTTCATATCTAAATTGCTGGGAATGTTTTCTCCCGTTCATTACATGCATGAATTCTAGAATGGCCAAATAGAATTATGTGTAAATCACATGTGATTTGTATATACATTTCAGATAAATGCAGGCTGAAACTCAGTTCTCCGTAATCTATGTACACTGTTTCATAAAATTTAATTTTCATGAATGGATTTTTTATAATGTATTCTTTTTAACCATTCTACTACTATTGTTATATAAACAGTTCAGTTGTTCACAGTGCTCAAATCATGAAATTGTTCTATAACATTATGAAACTCTTTCATAAGATAATGACAAATAATCTATGTTTGATAGGATACATAAATAATATATACAAATCAATTCACAGCTGCACATTTTAATAGAGAAAAGATTAATCAAAGCTTTATTTATAAGCTTGCCTAGTGTTGTTTAGTATTCCAGTTCAACAAAGATCAATAGAGGCCATTCCCGTCTCTTGACGCCTCTCCAGGAAACAGAGGTGCGATTATGTAAATAGCACCAGTTCCTCTATACTTCTGCCAGCTTGCTTATCTCCAAAGCCTTCTGCCTGCTGCCATTGGCGACCAATACAGTATGTGCATCTATCCCGTATCTCTTAACAAAGCTGGAGAAGTACAGCCAGTCATGTTAAACCGTGATGCATGTCTGGTTTTATTTGTAAAGTGATTCATTTCAGTACCTTTAATCTCTGTTGTATTTAGTTCATATATAGAAAATAGCTGATCAGTTAGAATAAGAAAGAAAACAGATGCATCCAGACATTCACTGGTAATAGGGATAATCCATTGACTTAACAATGCAACACAGCATTGCAATATAATTAGGAAATGTCAGTGTCAGAAGACGGACACTGACTGTAAGGAATAAAGGAATGTTCTTCAAGAAAGGCACCTGGTTTTGTTTTCTATTCTTTTGCAAGACAGCGGTAAATCACAAAATGGACCATCAAAATAAAACAATTAGGTTTTAAAAATTACACAATAATTAATAAATTTATCTCATAACAAAAACTGTGTTGCAACAAATCAAATATCTAAGCACTGACACTGCCTGACAAAACATAGTATTTATCTTGCACTCTCCTAGCATAATCTCCATTTAACATTACTAGCAATGGGTCCTACTGTGAGGGACTATTTTTTTTATAAGAATGCACTGATTCACAAATAGCTTTTGCACAACATATTCTCAGCTCAGCAAGAAGTCTGCACTCTTGAATGAACCAGAACACATTAGTGAGAGAAAGTTCATTAACCTTGCTAGATTTAGAGGGTTAACAGGGCAGGGAAGAAAGGAATTGAGTGAAAAGCTCTGTTGCAAAACAAATTAAAATGAACGTCATCATTTCTTTTGATATTCATTAGCTAATTCACAGAGAAAGTGGTTTTCTTAAATTTGCAGCTATTTATCAGTGAAAAACAGGTGTACACCTGCTGTTCAAGTCATCCTTAGTGATGATGATGATAATAGTAATGGTAGTAACTGCAGTAGTAATAAATATAACACAGAGACTTACCACATCCACTACGGGAGTAACTGGGAGAGGGAGAGAAGACCTGAGCAGCAAAATCCTCAAATGACAGTTGTTCTTTGTGATTCCGGATTATTTCATCAAGATATATTGCTCTTTCCTCATAACTGTTGGACGTGGGTTAAGGAAATACATTCTGTTACCAAGCCTTAACTATTCAATTTTGTATTTGATACATAACATATAGAAAGAAAAGTGTACCACAGTTGCTATGGTATATTTCCAAAGTCACAGAATTGTAAGCATTGCAAGTAATTAACATTTAGACTTTTTTACATAAATGTAATATTTTCAGTACTAAGCAAATTATAGTATTAAAAACACTGGTTTTCAAATTAAATGTAATGGGTCTTCATCGGTGATAAATTAAAATTATGTAATAATGAGGAAAAGTGTTATAGTAGATACATACATGCACATATACTCTACCCTAATGCATTAATATGAATGCATATACATTTGAGCTATTATGACAGAAAAATTAGAAATGTTAATTAATTTATTTAAAATAAATTTTATTTTAAAATAAGAATACATATAGCTATCAACTACATTCTTAAGACATGTTAATGTTTCATCCCTGAGATTTTCCAGAAGAATTGGCAATTTCCTGAGCTAGTCAAATTTTAAAAATAGAACATGTGTACACTTTAGTCTTAAGCATCTAAAACCAAAGATGTTACCTTTAATTAAAAATCAGCAACCTGGAACACACACACCATATAAGTGCATAATCAAAAGCCAGTCACCCATAAGGCTTACAAGCATAACATGCAGAAGCAACTTTCCAGCTGTCTTTAACAGGACCCCTGCTTGTGATATCTTTTCATACGGAAGACAGCAAATCTCTCTGTGTGCGATTTCTAATTTCTTTGATGATAATTTATACACTTAAAACAACAGCAATAGTATTTTGTACATATCTAGTGCAGACAAATTTGTCATATATTGGATTTTATGACCTCAGTGGTCGGTCAATAATCATGTATATTGTTATTCAGATTGAAAATAGGTTTTTAGTTTCCAATGTTTTTTTTAATATGACAAAATTGCTTACTTTTATAAGACTCCTTCGGGAGTTGGAACAAAGAGTAAATTCTTTATTACACTCTCATCGGTGTATTTGTTACTCCTTAATATTTTACAAATGTGTTTCTTACATAGCACATTTCACTTTAAAAATACAACAGAAGCAACTTGTAAACCATTTCTAAAAGGCAAACAATTTCTTTTTTTGGTCATTATTATTGAAATCAACCGATTATCATATAAACCAAAGTAAGGTCAATATGTTTTAGGTTTTTTTTCATATCTCTGTGTCATTATTGTGCAGTGACAGAAACTAACAAGGTATTTCACACTACATAACTGTATATTTATATCCCATTCCTCTGGTTTATTTATATCCCATTCCTAGGTATATTTAGATATGCGTTTCTGGTATACGCTGAATTGCTGATGACTCGATGCTAATGACTAGCCTGCCAAACTTCCTAGGAGAAAGCCATACGCCTAGAACCTATTCTAAAGGGACTGATGGATGCCATTCACTTCTCATTATGAACATGCTTATTCTGCCTGGTGCTTGGCTGTTGCTAGGGATCTCAATTCCTCACTGACACAGCAAGTGCTGGTCCCAAACAGCAGGATGTTAGGCCTGAGTGGCCGTCTGGTGCACAGACTTTCTGACACTAAGCTGGCACGTGCTGGCGCAGCAGGGGAAAGCCAAGGCGTGACAAATTACTGAAAGAGCTAAGCTAAACTTATGGTTGAAAACCACCTGAGCCTGTGGACCTCTGTGGGCTTGGCATCTCTTCTCAATTCCTTCCCCCCCCCACTCACCCTTTAAGTCCATGGTCTGCATGCGGCCTCACTTTTGTGGAAGCAGTTAAAATAAACCTTGTTTCTGTGCTATGTCTATAAACATAATAAATGGAAGAGAAGACACTACAATTTGGGGGGGGGGCGGGAATGTATTGTATATCAGAAAGTCTGATCAGCCAATGATTTTAAACAATGGAATCAATAATAGTACTTCAGAGGATAAACATTCACCCAATAATAACTGCCAATGATTAGCAACAACATCTGGAAATTATTATAGATTTGCAAAATAATATCCCCTCCCCAGCCCTGGACATACACTGGGACAGGCAAAGATCCCCTTCAGTGGAGCTAATCTCATAATACCTCCAAGCACTCTTCCAAGTAGTTTTCTTGGTAGCTAAGTGGAAGTGCTATTGCTATTGTCCTCTGGTTTAGATTTAAATTTCCCAGTCTAGCATACAACTGTGGTTATTTCCCAGTTAGCTTTCATCAAACTAAATTCTGCTTAGGCAGTTTCAAAAATTTACTAAGATCAGCTAAGTATTTCCAGGGGTAAATTGTCTAAATAATAATAAATATAATATATTTTAAGCGTTTCCTTAAGAGTAATATAAGAGAATTTTCTAATTAAGTCAGTAATTAGAGAATAAGTTTAAATCAGGAATTCCTGCATATTGAAAAAGTAAGAATGTAAAAAACAGCTACATTCGATAGCAGCAAAGGCAACACATTTCAAAATCCCTGTTCATTTTTAATCCTAATTTTCGATAATTTATAGTATTCTTAGGTTATTCTATCACTAGGTATTAAGTAAGACATAGCATAATAAAGTTTAGTTTACTTTCATTTTAATTAAGTCAACGAATGTTAAAAATTTAAGGGAAAGTAAGATTTCAGTGGAGAATTTGGTGTAGTAATTAAGGTACCAGTCTAGAAATCGGGAGACCGGGAGTTCTAGTCCTGCCTTGGACACAAAGACAGATGGGTGATGACTTGGGCCAAGATTTCAAGATTCCTCATAAAATTATTCCCAATTTGGCTACGTTATTTTTTGAGTGCAAATCATGCATTGTGATTTAGAACTGGCTGCAGTATAGATGCTGCCTGGCCAGGCGTATCTTTTAATCTGACATATCTGAGAAGTGTACTTGGAAATCACTACCCTTCTTTTGGACCCATATCCTTTCTGGTTATTAAAAGCTATTAAAAGAATTATCTGTATCAGGGATGGTGAACTTTTTTTGGCCATGTTTTTTAGTTGCATTCACATGTGCGTGACATCCTAGGAGCTACGTGCTAGGAATGGTTAGTATCCAAGCAATCTTCTGCGTGTTCCTTTCTTTCTCTGTCAGCATTAGCCATTCACAATTTTCCTGGTATTATTTGCTGCCTGCCAGGAAAAAGAAGCGGAGGGGCTTGACCATAGGAGTGTTCTAGAACAAAAATGGACAACTTTTTTTTTTAGCTCCTGCAGCTGCATCAGTTGACAGACTGATGATGGTACACACGTATGTGCCTCCATTTTCTCTCTCACTCTTTCATCACTGCTTTGCCCTCCCTTCCCAGCAATCTTGATAAAGGGTGTTAGGAGGAAGTGGGGAGGTTCATGTATTTTTTATTTATTAGATTAATAATCTATGTTTTGTTTGGAAGTCAAGGCAGCCAACACTTTAATCACTACACCATGCTCCACTGGTTCTCAGTGGTGAATAAGGAAGAATTCTCCTTTCAGGTAGCTGACATCATGCTGACGGGAAGCCAGTGATTATAATTAAGAGGATAGCTGGAAGGAGGGAGAAATTCTTTTTTCTCCGTCTGTGAACTTTTGCTCAAAATATACTGAATTTG